GGAGGAGGACTGTGGGGTCCCTGGTATTCTCTGAGCTTGGTGGTTTTCTTGCAGACGTTTCATTACCCAACTAGATAGCATCATCAGGGCCCTGATGGATAATGAAACGCCTGCAAGGAAACCACCAAGCTCAGAGAGCACCCAGGATCCTGACAAAGGTTTTAACTTTGTTCTGGATCGGGAATTCGCCCGGTTCCTCCAGGCAGATATCCTTCCCTTGCGCGCCTTCTCCGGTTGGACCGGCTGCTCTTTGGCATTCCGGTCCAATGTCTCTGGGGTTGTCCAGCTCGCTCACCGCCTGGGCCTCCATCCCCTTTGCGAGGGTCCAGGCAACATCTGGCCTCCCGCTTGCTTGCCCGCCCGCCTCCTCCTCCTCCTCCTCCTCCTCCTCTGCCAAGGTAAACTGCCGGGAGGGGGGAGCGGGGCTCGCGAGCAGGGACGGGGGCCACGTCCAACTAGTAGCATCTCGGAGCAGCCGGGAGGAGGGCCGGTGCGGCTGCCGCCTGCCAAGGAGAGCCTCTCCCCCGCCGCCACCTCCTCCTCCTCCTCCGAGGGGCCCGGCGGAAAAAGAGTGTTTGCTTACTTTTGATTAACTTACACGTGCAGAGCCGGGACGAAGCCCCTCCGCCCTCCGGCTCCAGCAGCAGGGAGCACGCGCCAAGGTAGGGGTCAGGTGGGGCGCTGGCATCCGGGGAAGGAGGGAGGGGGGGGCTTGAGTGAGGGGCGGGGGGGCGGCGGGGAGGTGTTTGAATTCGGGAAGGGAACCCTGCCCTCCCGCGCGTGGAAGGCAGACCGACCAGCGAGCAAGGGCTCCCGAGGAGAACCTTCCAAGCTGTAAATGTGGGAATTGCACACATGCACGCACACACACACACAGAGAGAGAAAGAGGGGGAATTAGACACACACACCACACACACATACACAGAGAGAGAAAGAGAGGAGGGAGACTATACATACACACAGAGGGGGATTTTATACACACACACACACACCACACATATACACAAAGCAAAGGGGAGACTATACACACACACAGAGGGGGGATTGTATACAGACACACACAGAGAAAGAGGGGGGTTTATACACACACATACACACATACACAGAGAGAAGGGGGGACTATACACACAGAGGGGGGATTATATATATATACACACACACACAGGGTGGATTATACACACACACCACACACTCACATCACACACAGAGGGGGGAACTATACAGAGAGAGGGGGGGATTATATACACACACACACCACACACATGCATACACACAGAGAGGAGGGGGCGACCTGTGTGCAAAATACTAGTTTCCTGGACCCAGAGGCTCTGGGGTTTGGGCCCAGGCCGCCTTCAACCTAAGCTGGCTGGGGGATTCTGGGAGTTGGAGTCCTCCAGGCTTAAAGCTGCTCCAGAAGACCCAGAGACTGTGTCCCTCCTGCGGCTCCGGGAAGGCTCACCCGGGGGCCTCCCCGATGGATGGAACCCAGCTCAGGCGCTTTGGCTTTCGGACGTCCCTTCTACAGGACCCAGCTAGAGAAATGCACTCAAGCCTTGGAATTCCTGTCAGGAATGTTTATAGAGTCTCCTGCTTGGGCAGGGGGGGCATGTGGGTGTGGAGGGTTGGACTAGATGACCTCCGAGGTCCCTTCCAACTCTCTTCCCCTAAAAGTCACCCGCTGGGCTGCGGCGCAGAGGCCCAGGAGAGGCGACCCTCTGGTTCTCAGGCAGACGCCCAGCTGGCTCAGGATGGAGCCCGGTGGGCAGAGGGGGGGGCGGGGGCCCGCGCCCCCCCGCGCTCCGCGGCCTCCCAGCTGGAGGCGACAGCGTGCGATCCCCCCCCCCGAAACGCGCCCTCCCCCGCCGCTCCCCGTCCGGTTGCGGGGACGGAGCTCTGTTGGAAGAAACGGGGAGCGGGGGGGGAACCCGACTCCCACGACCCCCCCTCTTCGCGGGCAGGCGCGGGGAACGGGAGTGGGATGTCTCGCGGGCTGCGTGATCTTAACTCCGGCTTTTAAATCGCTGGGCTGGCCTTTTAAACAAAGATTAACAGGGTTGGGAGGGGCCTTGGAGGTCATCTAGTCCAACCCCACCCCCCCCCCCCACCCCCCCCCCCAACCCGAGAGCCCACACCATTTCTGACAGATGGCGGTCCAGTCTCTTCTTGAAAGTCTCAACTGATGGCGCTCACACAATTTCTATATGCAGAGAGAGAGGGAGGGAGGGATTATACACACACACACACATACACACCACACACACACACACACACACACACACACCCCTAGGCTGTCCAAGGCACTTCACTCTCCAAGGGGCTACGGGGAGGGGGGGGTGTCCCCAAACTTTGCAACTTTAAGCCTTGCGGACTTCAACTCCCAGAATTCTCCAGCCAGCTATGTGGTCTTAAGTCAGAAGTCCCCCAACTTGGCAACTTTTAAGACTAGTGGACTTCAACTCCCAGAATTCTCCAGCCAGTGTAGAATGCTGGGAGTTGAAGTCCACGAGTCTTAAAGTGGCCAAGTTTGGAGACCTCATGATCTGAGAAAGCACAGGTGCCGGAGGCCCAGATTCCCACACGGCTTCTCAGGTGATGGCATCTACACCCAGGACCGTCTCTGAGGCGGGCCACGGAAGGGTGGCGAAGGGGGCTTCCCAGGGTGTCGAAGGGGGCTTCCCAGTTGCAACCGTTCGCCGGTTAAGACCCACCATTCAAACATTTCAATAGCAACTGAGGTGCAGGCGCCTGCATTTTTCTGCTTCGTTTGAGAATTGTGCTCGGAAAGTGGTTTTTCCTAGCTGGTTCTTGATGCCTCTTCCACATGTTGGGCTTGGCTGTGGGAATTGGCCTCCTGACTGAGGGGTGGGGGGCAGGATGGGAGGGAAGTCTGGGTGCAAAAGAGGAAAACCAAGCAGGTTCTTCCTCGGCCATCCAGAAGCCTGAGTGCCAGACTCCAAGGACCCCTCCCCAGACCATCCCAATCGCTCCCCCTCTTCCTGCTTCTTTGGGGGAACCCTCCTCATCTTCTCCAAGCAAAGGAGGAGGGTGGCAACCCAAAGGGGGAGGAGCCACGGGGCATTCCCCCCCCCCTCCAGCTAACAAGGTCATTCCAGGTGGAGACAAGGGCAACTCCGACTCGCTCGGCCTGGAATGGAAACCGGATATTTCCCAGCTTTGGGTCTGTCCGAGCATTCTTGCGCGGCTGCTGTCTGGGCCGCCGGATGTGCCGAGCACGCCAGGTATGTGCGGCCCTGAGCCTTTGCTGGAGGCCTCGGAGGAGCCTCCCTTGTGCTGGGCCTTTTCTGGGGGGAGAAGGGGAAAGAGGCTTCCCCCCACCCGCCCCTGCAACCCCAGGGGGAGAGCAGATTTCCAGATCCAGACTGGCACTGAGCAAAGTGGCCCTTCCGGTTGCTGGCTGCAAGTGATTCAGCTCCTATGCCCTGGGGCCTTCAAACTTGGCAGCTTGAAGACTTGTGGATAGATAGATAGACAGGATAGACAGGATAGATAGGATAGATAGATAGATAGATAGATAGATAGATAGATAGATAGATAGATAGATAGATAGATAGATGACGGAGATGGATGGATTCAGCAAGTGAATCAAAGGACAGAATAAGCCCTTCTCCCGGAACAGCGCGACCACCCCTCTGTTTACACCTCTCTAGCAAAGACGCCCCCGCCCCCGCCCCCCAGGTCAGCGGGAGACGGGCGGGGAGGGCAGCAGCGTCTCTCCGGCCCTTGTGCACCCCCGCCCGTCGGAAGAAGACCCCCCCCTTCCCCAGGGTTACTAGAGTTCAACCTCGGCACGTGCCGCCGGCGAGGTCGAGGCGAACCAGACGCCGGGGCGACTGCAACGCCCCACGACCTTCTTCCTTCCCCCACTCGCATCCCCGGAGGAAAGGCCCGACGGCGCTTCCTTGCCCTCCCCAAGGAGCCCCGGAGCTGCGCCCAGAAGCCCTCCCTCCCCGCCCCTCGCCTCCCCAGAGGCACAGGACCCCAACGCCCATCCTCCTCGGCCGAATGGTCGTCCCAGCCAGTCCGCATCGCCGCTTTCAATTCCTCAAAGGCGCCTCCTTGCAGCGCCCACACCCTGCAGGCGGGGTGGTGGGGGGTGGTGGAGAGGGGGAACCCGGCGACCCCTGGCCACCCCCTACCCCCGCCAGGCGCACTCTGCGGATGCTCAGAGGCCACCCACCCACCCACCACCCTCGGCCGCAACCCCTTACCTTCCGCTTGTGCCGGTGGACGTCGCCGATGGAGTTGGCCACGGTGTTGGGACCCAGGAGGAGGCGGGTGCTGCGCGGCCACTCGGTGCTGACCAGGCTGTGCTCGCCCATCAGGATCTTGCGCACGTTCTCGGCGCCCGTCACGCGGATCAGCGGCCGGCCCAGCAGGTGGGTCTTGAAGACGTTGCCGTATCTCTCCCGCCGCGAGGACTGGAAGCCCGGGCCCTGCAAGAGGAAGCGCGGCCGCTCAGCCTGGCAGCTCCCCTCTCCCCTCTCCCCCCCTCTCCACAAACCCACCCATCCCCCCGGCTGGAGACACGGCGGGGCAGAGGCTTTCCGTGAACTCTGCGCCCCCTCCCCAGTTCCCCCAGACCCATTCCCCTCCGACTTTCCACCGCAGGGATCCGGGACTGTCCAGCAGGGGCTCCGGCAGTCTCCGTCCCGCCTTTCTCGCGCCTCGGGGGAAAGTGCTGCAGCTTCTCTCGGAGGACGGAGAGCGGGACGGGAGCCCCCTCCACGACGGCCGCAAAAGGCTGCTGAAGCGACGACGCACCCCCCCCCTCAAGCCTCCCTTCCGTGCTCAGCCCGCGTCTTTTGCCCACTTCCATCTGTTCACACGCACACGGATGGATGAGGGTGTCCCCCCCACAAAAAAAGGTTAAACTGTTCGGGAAAGGAAAGGGCTTTTCCTGGCCACGGGTGTGAAGTCCTGCGCGTGGAAAACGGGGTTTTGGGTGGGTGGTGGGTGTGGGGGGGTCAGGTTTCTTAGGCCGTCCCGCGTGGCCCAAAGACGGTGGGAAACCGCCAGGCGCGGGACGTTCGCCTTCCTTAACTGGGGCTTTGGTTACTTCTGCTCGGAGGGGGCGCCTCGGCCGGCCTTAGCCCCCCTTTTCCTCCCCCACCCCACCCCCGCCACCGAGGCTGCTGGAGAGCCAAAGAAGGGCGCAAAGGCGCGAGGCTCGATCCAAAGAAAGCGAGGCAGCCTCCGAGCCCGGAGGGTCGCGGGAACCCCCTTGAGCCAGACGGCGGCTTGGCCCGGGCGCGTGGAAAAGGAGGACGAGAGTTTTTGTGAGCCTCGAACTCGAGAGTTTAAGTGAATTGTGGGGATGCGCAGGAGGCTTAACACGGGCAAAGGCGGCGGGTTGGCGCGGGGGGAGGGGGTGGAGGTTTCGCTAGCTCCTTCGGGGAGGTCCGAGGACTCAATTGAACCTCTCTCCCAAAGATCTTCGGGTTCCCTCGTCTAGAATGCCGAAGGCGCGCGAGCGTGTAAGTCGGGCACAAACACGCGCCGCGTTGTTACACCAGGCATTCCCGGCGCAGCTGGCCATCCCTGGAGGCGGCGGGCTCCCCTTGGCGGCCTGGGCTCAAGTAGAGCCCGGATCGCCATTCCCGGGGGAGGGGAGGGGAGCCTTCCTTCCGCTGCCGGGGTGGGCTTCGGCGTCGCTGCCCAAATGACCAGCGGATGGTTTCAGGGGTCGTCGAAATGCAGGCAGAATCCGGAATGCAAATACTGGGCGCCCCTTTTTACAGACACTCCCCAGCCGGGGGCGGGGGGGAATCTTTCTGCTTTGGCGCATCGGAGGCAACGAACGGAATCTCCCCATTCCTTCGCGCTTGCGGCGGCAGAATAAAACGAGGAGGGTTCCTTAAGGCCATCGAGACCAACCCCAGCTTAAAAAGCCTACCTAATAGGCGCCTCTCAAGTTCCCTGACGCTGAAAGGAAGTTCTTATTTGGGGAGGGGAAGGGGGGGGAAAGGGACCAAATGTCCCTCCTCCCCGGGGAGGGCCGGTGGAGGGGGGGGGGGGGGGAGAACGTGGTCCCCGAGACTGAGGCTGCCTGGAGTCGGGGTCCCCTAGACGGAAGGCGGGCTCCGGAGACGCCCACCCGTGGAACTGTGGAAGGGGACTCAATTTCTTAGATTAACCCTAACGGGGGGCGGGGGGAGGGTTGAATCCTCCTCCTCCGTCGCGCCTTCGCGCAGTCGACTCGTCCTTTCCACGGAGGACGAATAACCGGGCGAACCCACTCCAAATATTTTTGGCTAAGCGCGGGGACGAGACCGGGACTCCTAATCGCTTTCCCAGATGCTGGCGTGGTCCTGGGGGAGGGAGGGAAAGAGCCGCAAGCAACCCGAGGGGAAAGGGGGGCACTTGGACCTCCCGCGGGGTCCTCCTCCCCATTTTCGGAGCTAGAAAGAGCGGGGTATATTTCCCGCCCCCCCTCCCGCGATTTGGAAGAAACGCCGCAAGAGGCTCCATGCGCCTTTACAGCCAAAGAGGCGCCCCACTTTCCCGGCGCGGGGTCCTTCAGAGGCAGAGAACTGGGGTCGGGGAAGGGTTGGGATTGAGGGGGGGGGGGCTTTTTAAAAAAAAAAAAAAAACAAAAGCACAGTTGTGAAGTTCAGCAATTCAGGTGATCCGGTGTCTTGATCTGCGTAAATATAATTAAAAGTGCTTTTAGGGGCATTAATAAAGGGTTATTTGTGCAATATTTCCATCCTTGTACAAAGGGCACCTTTATGTGGGAAGGTTTTCGGCCGACTCCGATTTATATACTTTTTTTAACATTTATTTTTAGTCCTAGACTTTTTTTCCCTCTCTCTCTCTCTCTCTCTTTTGCCTGGATGGAGCCTTGAGGAAAAGGGAGAGCCCCTTTCTCGGCGCCCCTTGTAAAAAATCTGATAAATTTCTTTTTAAAATAGTCCCATTGAGGGACGGCGCTTAACTCTTTAGATGCGGGGGGGGGGGGGGCCCCAATGTTTCTGTCTCTTCATGTCCTTCATGGGGGGTGGGGGCTGCAGAGGAGGAAAGGATAACATCTCCTGCGCCCTAATTCCCTTCTGCTCCCTAGCAGAGCGACGGGAATACAAGGAAGAGTCCGAATCCCTCGCGAACGTGGAGACAAATCCGCCCGAGTCCCGCGGGCGGAATGTATGTGGTGTATGTTTTGGGGGTGGGATTAGCGGTTCTGGCATTAGGAGCGACGCAGTTTGTGATGCGGGGGGGGGGAAGGAGACGAAAGTCTCGAGGACTCCCCGCCAAACTCTTAGGCTCGCGGCTGGGCCGCTTTGGCGCAAGCTGCGTGGGCTGACCCCCGAGTGGGGGGCGGCCTTTCCGCGGCGGCGGTGGCGGAAAAAGCGCTGGGCGGGCGAGAGGGAATCCCACGCTGCGCTTTGCCCGGGAGGGGAGGGCAGGGGTGGGAGGGAAGGACAAGGAAAGCGCAGGCGAGGGTTCCGCGCTGGTGTGAGGGAAAAGGCGAAGCGTTCCACGGTTTCCCCCCACGAGCTCCTTAGCCTCACCTGTTGGATGGAGCCTGGAAGGTGTGAGCCTCCCCTCCCTCCGCCTCGCTCCGGCCAGTTGCGTCCCCCACCGGCAGGAGACGCCGAGGGAGAAGGCTCGGACCGACGGCCGCTTCCAACCTTGCAAAGCTTCAGGCCGGGCGTAGCCGGAGAAACCGCCGCCTCCTCCTTCCCCGCGGGGATCGCGCGGCTCTTCCGTCGGCCTGTCCCCGACGCGCCTCTCCCCTGCCCCCCCCGCCGCGGACACCCTGCCCGGGGTTTCCCCGGCGCCGGCAGCGCTTACCTGCAGCAGCCAGTGGAAGGTCTCGCCCACCAGCGGGAAGCCCATGGTGCCCTTGGGGATGGGCAGCTTGCAGCTCTTGTCGCGCGTGGCGGCCCAGCGCAGCTGCCACAGTTGCTGCGAGACGGCCAGCAGCAGCGTCAGCGAGGCCAGGCAGGCGGCGGCGGTGGCCAGAGCCGAGAGCAACTCGAAGCCGGCGAAGAGCATCTTGCGCGCCGGGGGTGGGGGGGAAACTGACCGTCGGAAGCGCCTTCAAGGAAAGCGGCCGGCTTCGACTCCGGGACACAGACTCGTCCGGGCGGCGCGCCGGCGAGGCGAGCGAGACTCTGCACGGATGGCGAGCGCTGTTGCTGCTGCTGCTGCCGCCCGCCGAAGAGCAGGGTGTTCAGACGGGGAGGCGGCCGCCCCCTTTCCGCTCGGACGGAGACCAGGAGGAGTAACGGACCCGGCAGGCGCGGCCAAAGTCGGGGTCCCTCCCGAAGGCGACCCTCTCGGATCTGCGCTCCTTGCAGCGCTGCAACTCAGAACTCACGCCGAAAGAGGAGAGGGAGGAGAAGGAGGGCGCTGCGCCCGGAGGGGATACCGGCAAGCCGGGAGACGGGGAGGCTCTTCGGCTGCAGCGGCGGCGGCGGCGGACGAGCCGAAGCCGCAGGAGGCAGCGAGAACCGGGCGCGGATCTGCAGCGGGCTTCTGCGGTCGCGCCGTCCAACTTGGAGCGGGCTACCTGGCGCGTCTGTGCCGGGCGGGGGGCGGGCCGGCGAGGGGCGGGCGGGCGCGAGCTCCGTTTCGCGGCGCCGTCGGAGGAGGAGTCGCCGCGCTCCGCGCCAGTTTGCGGGGATCAGCCCTGGCGGCGCTTATATAGAGGCGGCGCGGCCGGTGGCTCGGCCGGCGGTCGTCCCCTCCTCCCCTCCCCTTCGAGGCGTGGGCGGAGGCGGCAGGGGGCGAGGCGGGCCGGGCGCTGGAGCGTGCCAGCGCTGCCTCCGCCGACTCCGCTCGTGCCGCTCCGCGGGAGGAGGCTCACCTAGGCCGGCTGCGCGTCACCTGGCCGCGGCAGAGGGAAGCCGAGAAGCCGACCGTCTCGCCGCCCGACCTCTCGCCGGAGCGCCGAGCCGCCGAGTCGGGTCGCCAGTCCCGGGATTCGCCTGTTCAGGGCCCGCTGCAGAAAGGCGCCCTCCGGGGAAGCGGGGCGGACGAGTTCACCGGCCGGAGGAGCTCGGGGTCCCGGCTGGGTGCGCTCTGCCTTCCCTGGGGACGGACCGCCACCCTTTCGGACAACCGCCCGGGCTCTCCGGATTTCAGCGTGCCTCGACCTGGCTGTGGCCGAGGTGGCTCCGGCGGGCGCCGGGCGGCGCCTCCTTTCTGCGCCCGGCGCGGCTCGGCTGCTCGGTCTCGACCTGCTCCGGGACAGACCTGCCGCGACTTGTGCCGGAGTGACCTGCGCCCAGGGCTGGTCCGCGCCTCCCGGCTGGTGGCGGCGTCTTTCTGCCAAAGTGGCGGCTCTCGCTCGCTCGCTCTCTTGCCCTGGCGGGATACCCCCCCCTCCCTCCCCCCTCGGCGCTGAGCGCAGCGCGCCGGGGGCCCCGGGCGGGGGCGCCGCGGGGGAAAAGGCGGCTTCCCCTCCCCCCCCCCCCCCCCCCATCTCAGGCAAAGGCTGAGTTGGAAGCTGGAGGTGTGGGGGGGCATTTCGGTTGGCAAAGAAATGTTTTATTTCATGTTATTCTTCAATTTGCAATTCGCGGTGTGCCCACGACTCTGGGAAGCCCCTAAGAATCTCCCGTCCTTTCAGGGGCACTTTGAGGTTGGAAGCACTTTCTTTCTTTAAATATTTTATTGAACAAAACAGTTAAAAACACGGAACTAGTGAAGTCGGTTTGACATAACTTTTGCTCAGTATCGCATAGATCGATCTTTTCCTATATACAATTATTCAAGTATATACATTTGTTCGCTCATATATTACATTTTCCAGCATCATTGTGTCCTATTTTCATCTCGTACGTTCATTTACCCTCTCAGCAACTCCTCTGCCAACTGGAGAGGTTCCTTTCTGCTCCCACCGGCGATAGAATCTGTCCCGAATTGCGCAATATGCCGACTCCGTCTTTATTTTTCATCTCTAAAGTTAGCTTGTCCATTTCGGAGCACATCAAGACTTTTGTTTATTACTTCGTCATCGCCCCGTATGTCTGTCTCCTTCCAGTTCTGGGCAAATGCTATCCTTTGCCACAGTAATAATATGTATAACCACATAGAGCCCTTTGGAAGCACTTGCGAAGCACTGGCCTTCCCAACCTGCAGGAGAAGTATGGGGAGGGGGCTTCCAGTGGAGGAACGGGTGAAGAAGCACGTTGCTGTGAGGGGGGGGGGCGTTATCCAAACACGGAGGGTAGCACTGGGGCCTCTGGCCTCAGGGTTCCCATTCAGGGCCAGCAGAGAGACCTGGCCAAATCCCAGTGGGCACAGGATGGAGGCCCACCTGCTGCCTGTAAACACTGGTCCAGCTTTGTGTGTGTGTGTGTGTGTGTGTGTGTGTGTACACACAAGACGCTCCAGCCAGGCTAAGAGACCTTGCCGGGGTGGAAGGAAGGGCGCGAAGATGCTTCTCCAACCCACCATAAGGGATCCAATGTGGACAGTGCAGGGAAGCACCTGCCATCGATCCCTGGACTGCCCCAGGACAGCAAAAGCCCTCCCGTCCTCCCCAGCCCCAGCCTTGGAGCAAGGAGAGGGAGGGGTAGCCACTGTTTTCCCCTGAGAGGAGGACCCTCCCAACCTCCCAAAAGTTATGGGGCTGCCCGAGTCCCCCACCCCACCTTTCGCAGGTGAAGTTACGCAGCAGGGGGCCAGTCCAGAGTTCCTGACAAGCAGGAACCAATTTGGCCTCAAAATACCTCCAAGGAGGCCCAGAGCCAGTTTCCCCCCCACCCCGCCCGCCTGCCCACCCATCCCCCTCTGCGGTGGCCTTTTCTGCCCCACCCACTCCCCCTCTCCTGGGGCAAAACTGGTTCTCCTCCATTGGGGGTCCGTGGGGGGGAAAGGCAGCCCCTTGGGAGCCCTGCAGAAGGAGCCACAGGGATGAGATTTTCTCTAAGGTGGGGGGGTGCTGTCCTTCTGCAGCCTAACGGGGAGCCCGATCATCCCCTTCTGCTTCCCCCCCCACCCCCAGAATCCAGAGGGCACCTCCTGAAAAGAACTGCGTACAGCAAGGAATACAATGGAGGCCTCTCATCCAAGGGGCCCCCTTCATTCAGCTGCTTTGGCGGTGCCCCAACCCCAACAGAAAACTTTGGGGTCCTGGGAGGGGTCCTGAAAGTGGTGGGTGGAAGAACAGGGTGCCCACGTCACTGTCTCCAAGGCCAGTTCCCCCCCCCCCCTTCCCCCCCCCCTCCAGGATTGTAATATCTGACTCTAAGAAAAACTTGGGGTCAACTTCTGGCTAGGTCGCTCACGGCCCTCCCCCATGAGACTCTTGGAGTCACAACTTGAAGTGTGTGGTGTGTGGTGTGCTCACAGAAGAACTGCAGAGCAGGGGACTTACTCAGCAGGGTCCTGGGGGGGTCCCCGTTTGTGCCCCTTTCGTGGGTGGGTGAGGATAGGTTCTGCCTCCAGGTTCAGGGAGGCTCAGGAATGACCAAATACCTGCTTGAGCAGGGGGCTGGACTAGAAGACCTCCAAGGTCCCTTCCAGCTCGATTCTGATTGACTGAACAGGAGGCTTTGCATCCTTGGCATGAGCAATGCGCATACACGTGTGCACAGACACACACACACACACACACAGAGGCAAACACGCAGGTATGAGGTTGATCTTACCGTTCCCACGTTAACCCCTGGTTCTGGTTTGGGGGCTTGGAAGGGAAGCCTTTTGGTGTCCCTTAAAACAACCCAATCGTGGAGGGAGCAGCCAAAAATGCCAATGCGATCCTAAGTTGCATTAACAGAGGGATACGATCCAGATCAAGTGAGGTACTAATACCACTCTGTAAAGCCTTAGTAAGGCCACACCTAGAGTACTGCATCCAGTTTTGGTCACCACATTATAAAAAAAGATGTTGAGGCTCTAGAAAAAGTGCAGAGAAGAGCAACCAGGATGATGAGGGGACTGGAAGCTAAAACATACGATGAATGGTTACAGGAACTGGGCCTGGCTAGTCTAGGGAAGAAAAGGACCAGGGGAGACAGGATAGCATCCTCCAATATTTGAGGGGCTGCCACAGAGAGGAGGAAGGGGTCAGGCTATTTTCTAAAGTGCCTGAAGTCCAGACAAGGAATCATGGATGGAAACTGAGCAAAGAGAGAGTCAACCTGGAAAAAACAGATAAATTTAACAATCAACTAATGGAACAAAAGTTGCCTTCAGAAGTTGTGGGAGCGCCATCGCTTGAGACTTTCAAGAAGAGATTGGACCGCCATTTGTCAGAAATGGTGTAGGGTCTCCTGCTTGGGCAGGTTGGACTAGATGACCTACAAGGTCCCTTCCAACTCTGATTATCTATTATCTGGAGTGGGAGGGATGCTTTCTGCCCACCCCCCACCCCCCAGAAGGCAGGCAGAGGAAGGGCCGACCAAAGGCAAGGCAAAAAGTGGGTGGAGGCGGCTCTGGCCTCTTCCAGACTGGGGCGGGGCGGGGGGGGGGGGGACAGAGGGCCTGGGTCTCCACAAGGGAAGGGGCGTCGGGAGCTGGGCTGGGTCTGGCTGCCTCTCGCCTCCTGCAGACCAGCGCGGCCCCGGGACAGCGGCGAAGCGACCCCCGGTTAAGAAGGACCCCACCCCCCGTTTGACCGCACCTGGCCCGAAGGGCGACGAACCTCAACCAGAAAGGTTGGTGGTCTCGGGGGAGAAGGGAAGCAGCGCCTTCCCCCCCCCTCCCCAAAAAAGCCTCCAAGGGGAAACGGGAGCTTCCTGCAAGGGGGGGGGGGGGGTGCAAGGACCCTTCCCCCTCCCTTCAGGCTTCCCCGAGGGCATTTAATGCCCGGCTGCCCCCCGAGAGGAGAGCCTCAGGTGGAGGACCCCGGCCCAGGCCAGGTGAGAAGCGGACTGCCCAGCTGCTCCGGCCAGAGCCCGCTTCACTCTTTGCCCTGCAGCCCCACCTGGTGGCCACGCGGGGCCCCGCAAGGACGGCCGAGGTGGTGGTGGGGGGTGGCCGGCACGCAGCTGTCCCGCCGTCCTCGCGGGAAGGAGAGCGCCTCGCCTGGGTTTTCTAATCTAAAGGGTCCTTTAGTTTTCGTGCACAGAGGTCTCCGAACTTGGCCACTTTAAGACTTGGGGACTTCAACTCCCAGAATTCTCCAGCCAGCGTAGCTGAAGTCCACAAGCATAACTGGCTGGAGAATTCTGGGAGTTGAAGTCCCCGAGTCTTAAAGTGGCCAAGTTTGGGGACCGCTGGTTTAGTGGAAGAGATTACGGAAGTTGCCTTCAGAAAAAGTGAGCGTCCCATTACTGGAGGTTTGGAAGAAGAGACTGGACAGTCACTTATCTGAAATGGCCTAGGTTCTCCTGCTTCAGCAGCGGGCTGGACTAGAAGATCTCCAAGGTTCCTTCCAGCTATCCTATTCCTCTT